CCTGGTACTGCTGTCGCACAGCTGCTTTGAAGGAGCGGTTCACCGCGACGTCTAGGGGCTGCACCTCCGATGTGCAGCCAGCTGGTATGATGGCCGGCACGATACGCAGCTCGCCGAATTTCGCCCTCACTTGATCAGTCAGGTGCCCGCGGTAGGAGTCAAGCACCAGCATCGCCCTCCTGCTGCGCACTCCGAACCTCGGGTTGACGTACGGGCCCACTGTAGCGTCGAGCCACGCGAGGACGCCGTCCGCGTCCATCCACCCGTTGGGATGTGCGGCGACCACGACATCTGCACATCCGCACAACATTGAGAATGGCGTCAGTTGCAAAAAAAAACAACACTTGCAAATCCTACCGGGACTGCACAAGCTGCTCGGCTTACCGGAGGGGAAATTCCCCTTTGGAACTGTCTTGCGCTTAAAAAACACCCAAGGCTTGAGCTTCTCGCCGTTGGCGGTGCAGGCGAGCATCACCGTCACGCGTTCCTTTTGATAGCCGCCGCTGCGGATGGGCACGGAGCGGACCCCCACCTCCTCGACCGTGCGTTCAGCTGGCATTTCGAGCCAGAACGGGGTCTGATCCGCATTAATGATCCAGCGGTTGTCAATGCCGTACTGTCGGCGGGTGTGTCGCACGAACTTCCAGAAGTTCCGCACCTGCGTCTCGCACTCTGGAAGGGACGGGGAGGCAGAAACGATAAAATACATTAGCACATCGAACGGGAAGAGCAACAAGGATAAACAAGAGCGACGACAACAACAGACTCACCGGAGGAAAGTTTCTGGCCGACACGGGTCTTCGATCGGGTAGTGAGATTCCAGCGACGCCTAAAACGCTCGGTCCACCTCTGAGATCCCGCCCACTTTACCTCAGGATGCAGGCTCTTCATCACCTCTCGCGACCACTGCTGCAGGCGGCCGACCGACACTGCGAGGCACTTTTTTCGGGCGGCAAGTACTCGTGAGTACACCTGGATCTCCATGTCGCGGTACCACGACGACCGACCACGCCCGTGAAGACGCTTGCGAGCCCCATGCGCGCCCTCCAGCTCATCCTTCCGCGATTTCCACTCTGCCAGGGACTTTCGGGAGGTACCAGTGTCGCGCGCCATCTTCCGCACACTCACAGCACCGGACTCCAACTGTGAAATCCAGTGCAGCTTCTCCTGAGAAGTATAGGAGTGGCGCTTGTGCCTTGAGCGCTTGCTCCTGGGAGACGGGGGGCGAGCATCACGATTCTGGGTGGAGGGGTGGGGCCTTTTTTTATTGGGCGGGGGAAAACTTGGGACAGGCAAGTCCTCGGGAAGACCGTCGGCCGCCCACCACTCAACGTCGTCTTCGGCACCGGTGGCAGATTCGTCGTGCGGGCAGTCTTCCGGGTCTCCCCAGCGTGGCGAAAGACCGGGACCGGTTTCATCTTCGTCGCTGCGCTCGGGCTCGGGCTCGGGCTCGGGCTCGGAGACGTACGCGTCGAAAGCAGAGTAGCCGCGAGGAAGAAGCTGCAGAACGGGCACACCGTTGATGACGACGTTAGGAGGAGCGGGAGGAGCAGGAGGCGCTGGAGGAGCAGGAGGCGCAGGAGGAGCAGGAGGCGCAGGAGGAGCAGGAGGTATGGGAGCTGGGCGACTCTGCCATTGAGTGTAATCGGGAGTCTTGGCAGCATGACCTTGGCGGTTAAAGAGAAAATGGGTGCCGGGAAGGCCTGCCATGGCAGAGGCAGGCCGAGAGAAACAAGAAACATGGAAAAAACGGTGAGAATGAAGCCTGTTTCAAGCCCTCGCCCGAGACCCCTCCAACTTCGCGGCCCGAGTTCCTCTGCAGGGAGAGGGACTACACTGTCAAGATCTCTCCGCAGAGGAGCTGATGTGGTGAGGTGTGGGCGTTGTTGGCAAGGAATCTTGCCGCATATGCCCGGTTCGTGGTTGTTCTGCGTCGTGGTTGGCACGGCCATCGACCCTGATTGGGCAGTCCCACACTACACAGCGTGTGCGCTGGCATGCGCGAGATTCATGTACGGTACGATGAATCTGGCCAGGCCAACAAGGCGTGGCGGCAGTGATGCCACGCCTTGTTGGCCATTTGACGCGTTTTTCATGCACGGGTACGAACATTCTGGATGTTGATAGAATCCCCTTTTGAAACAGCTTCAGTTACATGTAAAAAAAACATATTTCACATTTGCCATTTTATAGGCGCCGGCGCTTATAAAAATCCTCAATTATAAGCGCACCCCCTAAAAAACAGTGTTTTATTACAACCCCAGGGGCGCTTCTATCCGGGGGCTGACGGTACCAAATTTGCCTCTGCAGGTGTTCTCCATGACGTGGCGTCCCGGGCAGTGGTTGCCGAAGTGGCACCTTCGCAACATCCACACTCATTATGAGGAACTCTTTTTCAAGAAGTACGGAAAATATTTCTAAGTAGTTTAAAAAGTTTCCATTTATAAGACTTATAAGACACCCTAAACCATCCCATTTACAAGATAACTCAAGCATTTTTGCCCGTGTACGAGATAAGACATATATGTCTTATATCCGGGCGATGACGGTAGTGCTTCTGAAACTGCCCCCTGCCATTCCAAGATGGGTCAACTGGCTATTGTATTTGAAACTCTGTTGAGCCGGCATGTGAATCTTCAGGCAACTCCTCACATGAGCCTGCAGGTGAATCTTCAGGTGAATCTTCTTCGGAGCAATCTGGAGACTCGAGGCACGAGTCTGCTCGGGAAACAAACGAGTTGTGGGCGGTGGTGCGGGCGGGCCATGCTGAGTCGAATCATCGTTCGGCTGATCCCTTGCAGCTCTGATACCACTGTGCTGATGTCGGAACGAGAGCGGGCGGCGAGGCGAGCGAAGGAGCGGATGGGACGGAACGGCAAGGACTGGGCGCTTAGGAAAGGGTCTAGGATCGCAGCAAGATCGTCTGTTGCTATGCTGTCTAACATCTGGGGGTGAAGAGTGGTGGAACAGGTAAGAGGAGCACGAGAGAGGATGATGAAAGGAGGATGAGACGGATTGGAGAGGGAAAATGTGGGATAGGTACGAAGAGGAAAGGACGACCATGGCTCATGGGTACCATGGCTCCTGGGTACCCATACATGGCTCATGGGTACCCATGCATGGCTCATGGGTACCCATGCATGGCTCATGGGTACCCATGCATGGCTCATGGGTACCGATGCATGGCTCATGGGTACCCATGCATGGCTCATGGGTACCCATACATGGCTCATGGGTACCGATACATGGCTCATGGGTACCCATACATGGCTCATGGGTACCCATACATGGCTCATGGGTACCATACATGAGATTGCAGGCACTGCTCAAGTTTGTTGATTGTTGATGTGAGATTGTAACGACAGCATCAATACATATCAGTGCAGTTGATGCTGACAGCGCGGTGGAGACATGCAAGTAGCGAGGACATCTGGGACACGTTTTCCTCACGCTGCTTCAATTTGCGCCCGCACTTTGCGCCATCGACTGCTCTGCCATTGACTCTCTCGCAATCTTTTTCATTATCGGCTAATCCGCTTGTGCTGACGTTGATGCGCTGATGCTGGTGCGCTGATGCTGATGCTGATGCGCTGATGCTGATGCTGATGCTGATGTTGATGCTGATGCTGATGCGCTGATGCTGATGCTGATGCGCTGATGCTGATGCTGATGCTGATGTTGATGCTGATGCTGATGCTGATGCGCTGATGCTGATGCTGATGCGCTGATGCTGATGCTGATGCGCTGATGCTGATGCTGATGCGCTGATGCTGATGCTGATGCGCTGATGCTGGTGTTGGTGCCAATGGTCATGCTGGTTCTGATGCTTCTGCCTATAGGGGTGAGAGTGTGGCGGGTGCTCTTCAGGCAGATGCTGGTGCGAGTAAAAGGCCTCGTGTAAATGAAGGTGCTGCTGCTGCTGCTTCAGCTGCGGTGGTTGTTCCTGCTACTGGCGTTGCACTAGGGGCCCAAGTCCTCCGACCGCTACAAGCGGCATCGCGAGGCGCCGTGTGAGAGGAGGAGGATGATGCAGTATTGCTTCCGAGAGGTGGCCGTCTCTTGACAAGGTTTCAAAGCGGGGCATGGTTGTGTTACTGAAAATTTTAACAAGAACCAACACCTTCAAAACGGGCGAAAAGATACACATTCATGCAACGCCCTGTCCACAACCCTGCTTGCTAAACTCAACATGCCTCTGACTGTACCTCCCGCTTCTTTTCCCATGCCCTCCTTGCCCGCTGCCCCCCCCTCCTCTTCCCCTCCTATCCTGTCCTTCTCTCCCCATCCATCCCCCAACAACCCATGCTTCTCTCCTCTCTTTCTCCCCCCCACCCCCCTTACTCCCCTGTCCGTCGCCCCTCGCCCTCGTCCGTCCTTTGGTGGCAGGCCAGTGAGGCGTGGAGGCGAGGGGAGAGGCAGCGAGCAGCAGCCCTTGCAGACAAGGTGGGGTCTGGTCTTGAACATTAAGTTGAGTTGCCCATAGGGTGCAGCGAATTGTAAGACAACTAAGTTGTAGTGCACGCATGCTGCATGGTTGATTGATGGAATGGAAGCAGGGCAAGGCCTATGCTTGTTGCACAGCAAGCAAGGCGAGCATGTTTCGCACACAGCAGCCAATCCCTCGTTCCTTGCGTGTCTTCTTCTGACCCAAAGCTTGTCCCTCGTCAGCTAAAACCTTCTGTGGTTTTATGGTCAAACCTGTACCCTGCCTCCGGATCCTATCCATAGATGACCACTTGACTTGAGTTCATGCCCGGCTGTGTGGCAGTTCCTGAGGTGCCTCATAACAGGCAGCATCCCAACCTACCTCTTGATACAATTCTGTTGGCGATTACTTGAGTCAGTTCATCCAGATTCCACACCAGCCCATGCGCATTCTGACAAGAGAGAGTCGAGTCCATCGCATCAAAAGTCCATCGCCTCAAGGTCCGTTCCTTATATGATCACCTCAGCTGGTCCATGCACATGGCATCGTGGTTGATTCTCTGAATTGAAGGTAGATGGCTTGGGTGCATGGGTTGGAGTCACAGAGGGCATGCATGGTTGCAGAATTGCTGGCAGCTATCAGCGTGGGTGCTATCAGCGTGGGTGCTATCAGCGTGGGTGCTATCAGCGTGGGTGCTATCAGCGTGGGTGCTATCAGCGTGGGTGCTATCAGCGTGGGTGCTATCAGCGTGGGTGCTATCAGCGTGGGTGCTATCAGCGTGGGTGCTATCAGCGTGGGTGCTATCAGCGTGGGTGCTATCAGCGTGGGTGCTATCAGCGTGGGTGCTATCAGCGTGGGTGCTATCAGCGTGGGTGCTATCAGCGTGGGTGCTATCAGCGTGGGTGCTATCAGCGTGGGTGCTATCAGCGTGGGTGCTATCAGCGTGGGTGCTATCAGCGTGGGTGCTATCAGCGTGGGTGCTATCAGCGTGGGTGCTATCAGCGTGGGTGCTATCAGCGTGGGTGCTATCAGCGTGGGTGCTATCAGCGTGGGTGCTATCAGCGTGGGTGCTATCAGCGTGGGTGCTATCAGCGTGGGTGCTATCAGCGTGGGTGCTATCAGCGTGGGTGCTATCAGCGTGGGTGCTATCAGCGTGGGTGCTATCAGCGTGGGTGCTATCAGCGTGGGTGCTATCAGCGTGGGTGCTATCAGCGTGGGTGCTATCAGCGTGGGTGCTATCAGCGTGGGTGCTATCAGCGTGGGTGCTATCAGCGTGGGTGCTATCAGCGTGGGTGCTATCGGCGTGGGTGCTATCGGCGTGGGTGCTATCGGCGTGGGTGCTATCGGCGTGGGTGCTATCGGCGTGGGTGCTATCGGCGTGGGTGCTATCGGCGTGGGTGCTATCGGCGTGGGTGCTATCGGCGTGGGTGCTATCGGCGTGGGTGCTATCGGCGTGGGTGCTATCGGCGTGGGTGCTATCGGCGTGGGTGCTATCGGCGTGGGTGCTATCGGCGTGGGTGCTATCGGCGTGGGTGCTATCGGCGTGGGTGCTATCGGCGTGGGTGCTATCGGCGTGGGTGCTATCGGCGTGGGTGCTATCGGCGTGGGTGCTATCGGCGTGGGTGCTATCGGCGTGGGTGCTATCGGCGTGGGTGCTATCGGCGTGGGTGCTATCGGCGTGGGTGCTATCGGCGTGGGTGCTATCGGCGTGGGTGCTATCGGCGTGGGTGCTATCGGCGTGGGTGCTATCGGCGTGGGTGCTATCGGCGTGGGTGCTATCGGCGTGGGTGCTATCGGCGTGGGTGCTATCGGCGTGGGTGCTATCGGCGTGGGTGCTATCGGCGTGGGTGCTATCGGCGTGGGTGCTATCGGCGTGGGTGCTATCGGCGTGGGTGCTATCGGCGTGGGTGCTATCGGCGTGGGTGCTATCGGCGTGGGTGCTATCGGCGTGGGTGCTATCGGCGTGGGTGCTATCGGCGTGGGTGCTATCGGCGTGGGTGCTATCGGCGTGGGTGCTATCGGCGTGGGTGCTATCGGCGTGGGTGCTATCGGCGTGGGTGCTATCGGCGTGGGTGCTATCGGCGTGGGTGCTATCGGCGTGGGTGCTATCGGCGTGGGTGCTATCGGCGTGGGTGCTATCGGCGTGGGTGCTATCGGCGTGGGTGCTATCGGCGTGGGTGCTATCGGCGTGGGTGCTATCGGCGTGGGTGCTATCGGCGTGGGTGCTATCGGCGTGGGTGCTATCGGCGTGGGTGCTATCGGCGTGGGTGCTATCGGCGTGGGTGCTATCGGCGTGGGTGCTATCGGCGTGGGTGCTATCGGCGTGGGTGCTATCGGCGTGGGTGCTATCGGCGTGGGTGCTATCGGCGTGGGTGCTATCGGCGTGGGTGCTATCGGCGTGGGTGCTATCGGCGTGGGTGCTATCGGCGTGGGTGCTATCGGCGTGGGTGCTATCGGCGTGGGTGCTATCGGCGTGGGTGCTATCGGCGTGGGTGCTATCGGCGTGGGTGCTATCGGCGTGGGTGCTATCGGCGTGGGTGCTATCGGCGTGGGTGCTATCGGCGTGGGTGCTATCGGCGTGGGTGCTATCGGCGTGGGTGCTATCGGCGTGGGTGCTATCGGCGTGGGTGCTATCGGCGTGGGTGCTATCGGCGTGGGTGCTATCGGCGTGGGTGCTATCGGCGTGGGTGCTATCGGCGTGGGTGCTATCGGCGTGGGTGCTATCGGCGTGGGTGCTATCGGCGTGGGTGCTATCGGCGTGGGTGCTATCGGCGTGGGTGCTATCGGCGTGGGTGCTATCGGCGTGGGTGCTATCGGCGTGGGTGCTATCGGCGTGGGTGCTATCGGCGTGGGTGCTATCGGCGTGGGTGCTATCGGCGTGGGTGCTATCGGCGTGGGTGCTATCGGCGTGGGTGCTATCGGCGTGGGTGCTATCGGCGTGGGTGCTATCGGCGTGGGTGCTATCGGCGTGGGTGCTATCGGCGTGGGTGCTATCGGCGTGGGTGCTATCGGCGTGGGTGCTATCGGCGTGGGTGCTATCGGCGTGGGTGCTATCGGCGTGGGTGCTATCGGCGTGGGTGCTATCGGCGTGGGTGCTATCGGCGTGGGTGCTATCGGCGTGGGTGCTATCGGCGTGGGTGCTATCGGCGTGGGTGCTATCGGCGTGGGTGCTATCGGCGTGGGTGCTATCGGCGTGGGTGCTATCGGCGTGGGTGCTATCGGCGTGGGTGCTATCGGCGTGGGTGCTATCGGCGTGGGTGCTATCGGCGTGGGTGCTATCGGCGTGGGTGCTATCGGCGTGGGTGCTATCGGCGTGGGTGCTATCGGCGTGGGTGCTATCGGCGTGGGTGCTATCGGCGTGGGTGCTATCGGCGTGGGTGCTATCGGCGTGGGTGCTATCGGCGTGGGTGCTATCGGCGTGGGTGCTATCGGCGTGGGTGCTATCGGCGTGGGTGCTATCGGCGTGGGTGCTATCGGCGTGGGTGCTATCGGCGTGGGTGCTATCGGCGTGGGTGCTATCGGCGTGGGTGCTATCGGCGTGGGTGCTATCGGCGTGGGTGCTATCGGCGTGGGTGCTATCGGCGTGGGTGCTATCGGCGTGGGTGCTATCGGCGTGGGTGCTATCGGCGTGGGTGCTATCGGCGTGGGTGCTATCGGCGTGGGTGCTATCGGCGTGGGTGCTATCGGCGTGGGTGCTATCGGCGTGGGTGCTATCGGCGTGGGTGCTATCGGCGTGGGTGCTATCGGCGTGGGTGCTATCGGCGTGGGTGCTATCGGCGTGGGTGCTATCGGCGTGGGTGCTATCGGCGTGGGTGCTATCGGCGTGGGTGCTATCGGCGTGGGTGCTATCGGCGTGGGTGCTATCGGCGTGGGTGCTATCGGCGTGGGTGCTATCGGCGTGGGTGCTATCGGCGTGGGTGCTATCGGCGTGGGTGCTATCGGCGTGGGTGCTATCGGCGTGGGTGCTATCGGCGTGGGTGCTATCGGCGTGGGTGCTATCGGCGTGGGTGCTATCGGCGTGGGTGCTATCGGCGTGGGTGCTATCGGCGTGGGTGCTATCGGCGTGGGTGCTATCGGCGTGGGTGCTATCGGCGTGGGTGCTATCGGCGTGGGTGCTATCGGCGTGGGTGCTATCGGCGTGGGTGCTATCGGCGTGGGTGCTATCGGCGTGGGTGCTATCGGCGTGGGTGCTATCGGCGTGGGTGCTATCGGCGTGGGTGCTATCGGCGTGGGTGCTATCGGCGTGGGTGCTATCGGCGTGGGTGCTATCGGCGTGGGTGCTATCGGCGTGGGTGCTATCGGCGTGGGTGCTATCGGCGTGGGTGCTATCGGCGTGGGTGCTATCGGCGTGGGTGCTATCGGCGTGGGTGCTATCGGCGTGGGTGCTATCGGCGTGGGTGCTATCGGCGTGGGTGCTATCGGCGTGGGTGCTATCGGCGTGGGTGCTATCGGCGTGGGTGCTATCGGCGTGGGTGCTATCGGCGTGGGTGCTATCGGCGTGGGTGCTATCGGCGTGGGTGCTATCGGCGTGGGTGCTATCGGCGTGGGTGCTATCGGCGTGGGTGCTATCGGCGTGGGTGCTATCGGCGTGGGTGCTATCGGCGTGGGTGCTATCGGCGTGGGTGCTATCGGCGTGGGTGCTATCGGCGTGGGTGCTATCGGCGTGGGTGCTATCGGCGTGGGTGCTATCGGCGTGGGTGCTATCGGCGTGGGTGCTATCGGCGTGGGTGCTATCGGCGTGGGTGCTATCGGCGTGGGTGCTATCGGCGTGGGTGCTATCGGCGTGGGTGCTATCGGCGTGGGTGCTATCGGCGTGGGTGCTATCGGCGTGGGTGCTATCGGCGTGGGTGCTATCGGCGTGGGTGCTATCGGCGTGGGTGCTATCGGCGTGGGTGCTATCGGCGTGGGTGCTATCGGCGTGGGTGCTATCGGCGTGGGTGCTATCGGCGTGGGTGCTATCGGCGTGGGTGCTATCGGCGTGGGTGCTATCGGCGTGGGTGCTATCGGCGTGGGTGCTATCGGCGTGGGTGCTATCGGCGTGGGTGCTATCGGCGTGGGTGCTATCGGCGTGGGTGCTATCGGCGTGGGTGCTATCGGCGTGGGTGCTATCGGCGTGGGTGCTATCGGCGTGGGTGCTATCGGCGTGGGTGCTATCGGCGTGGGTGCTATCGGCGTGGGTGCTATCGGCGTGGGTGCTATCGGCGTGGGTGCTATCGGCGTGGGTGCTATCGGCGTGGGTGCTATCGGCGTGGGTGCTATCGGCGTGGGTGCTATCGGCGTGGGTGCTATCGGCGTGGGTGCTATCGGCGTGGGTGCTATCGGCGTGGGTGCTATCGGCGTGGGTGCTATCGGCGTGGGTGCTATCGGCGTGGGTGCTATCGGCGTGGGTGCTATCGGCGTGGGTGCTATCGGCGTGGGTGCTATCGGCGTGGGTGCTATCGGCGTGGGTGCTATCGGCGTGGGTGCTATCGGCGTGGGTGCTATCGGCGTGGGTGCTATCGGCGTGGGTGCTATCGGCGTGGGTGCTATCGGCGTGGGTGCTATCGGCGTGGGTGCTATCGGCGTGGGTGCTATCGGCGTGGGTGCTATCGGCGTGGGTGCTATCGGCGTGGGTGCTATCGGCGTGGGTGCTATCGGCGTGGGTGCTATCGGCGTGGGTGCTATCGGCGTGGGTGCTATCGGCGTGGGTGCTATCGGCGTGGGTGCTATCGGCGTGGGTGCTATCGGCGTGGGTGCTATCGGCGTGGGTGCTATCGGCGTGGGTGCTATCGGCGTGGGTGCTATCGGCGTGGGTGCTATCGGCGTGGGTGCTATCGGCGTGGGTGCTATCGGCGTGGGTGCTATCGGCGTGGGTGCTATCGGCGTGGGTGCTATCGGCGTGGGTGCTATCGGCGTGGGTGCTATCGGCGTGGGTGCTATCGGCGTGGGTGCTATCGGCGTGGGTGCTATCGGCGTGGGTGCTATCGGCGTGGGTGCTATCGGCGTGGGTGCTATCGGCGTGGGTGCTATCGGCGTGGGTGCTATCGGCGTGGGTGCTATCGGCGTGGGTGCTATCGGCGTGGGTGCTATCGGCGTGGGTGCTATCGCGTGGGTGCTATCGCGTGGGTGCTAGCGTGGGTGCTATCAGCGTGGGTGCTATCAGCGTGGGTGCTATCAGCGTGGGTGCTATCAGCGCTGCGCAGGCAGACTGGACCGGTTAGGATTTGGAAATTGCACGACGAAGTTTGTGCAACCACGTGGCTTGTGTGAGGGGCTTTTGACGTGCCTGTAGTACCGTAGTTGGTATATACTTGCAGATTCATTCACCCACACAACTGGTCTGCCCTCTGCCCATGCTTGTGGTAACCTCAGTCAACCTTACCACCTGAGGGAACTGAAATCGCTTTGGTGAGACAACCGTATGCAAACAGCCCCATTGTCAAACATGCAGTGTTCAGAGCACGCATGGTACTAATCGATTGACGATGCACAGTGGAGCACCCACTGCAGAAGCTACATGACGGCCTAGCTGCAGCAGCAGCAGCAGCAGCAGGAGCAGCAGGAGCAGCATCAGCCGGCAAAGAGTATCCCAGCAGCGTGCTCCTCGTTGCCCCCTGTGAGTGCGAGAGCCTGCTCCACGAGCTGCCGGGGAAACCCCAGCTCCATGAGCCGCTGCACCTTCACCTCGTGCGCTGACACCGTGGGCGCTGCTGCTGCTGGCGTTGCCTGCACTTGGCAGGAATTGACATGGGTGAAAAGGGGAGGGAGAGACGGAATGTAGAGCAGAGAGGGTGGGTGAATGGACGGGTGAGGTTGCGGGGCATGTGGGCGTGAGAGGATGGATTCTGAGATGTGCGTGGTATGCGAAGGGAAGATGTTAGGAGGGAAGGAGGTGTCAGCTCCATGAGCCGCTGCACCTTCACCTCGTGCGCTGACACCGCCGGCGCTGCTGCTGGGGTGGCCTGCATGAAGGGGGGTGTTGATTTGGGTGAGATGGGGAGGGAGGGACGGGGGTGCAGCGCAGAGAGGGTGGATGGGAGGGTGGGAGAGGGTGCAGGGCGTGTGTGAATCGGTGGGTGGAGTCAGATGTGTGCGTGCGATGCTAAGGGAAGGTGCTGCTTGGAAGGATGTGGAGAAGATGAAGGAGGGAAGAGTGTGGATTGCACACAGAATGAGCTCACCTGGCCACCAGATACTGCTGGTGACGCAGCGCCTGCTGCTGCTGGCACAGGAGCAGCGCCCTGGCTTGCTGGTGCTCCTCCCCCACTACTCGTAGCACCGCCTGCTGCTGCTGCTGGGTGTGCTGCGGATGGTGCTGCAGGTGCAGAGGTACCAGCAGCGGAGGCGGAGGGTTGCGAGGGCTGTGCAGGGGTGGTGGCGGAATCGGGCAGAGGGTCCTGGTCCATTGCTGTGAGGAAGGCAGGAATGTCCTTCTCTGCACGCACACACCCAAGGGGGTGGGTGGGAGGGACCGAGTGAGAGAACGGCACACGAGGACGCCAGTTGTGGGAGAAAATAGAGGTGGAGAAGGGGTGATGGGAAGGGGGGTAAGGCAGGCTGGGAAGGGTAACCGAAACCAGTGCTGCAAGGGTAAGGTGAAAAGCATTAGCTGAGCAGACTTGGTCTGCCTCTCTTCAATGCTGGTCACTAGAGCGCGGCGCACTAACGTACCTGATAGGAAGGGCACCGCTATTTCACCCCCTCCAACACGTAAAACGTTGTCCTTGAGATCTATGCAACACTGACAGTAGGATAAGGAGAGGGGGAAACATTGTGAGGGGTACGAGCAGGATAGTGAGACGCAGCAGAGAAAACCTCAGGAAAGGAACAGGTGACGCAAGGCGGACGACAAATGAGAGACAGGCAGGCAGACAAGCAAGCCTCCCAAGTGTGCATAAAGGGAAGGGAGTGGCGGGAAGGTGCAGCAGTGAGCAGCGTGCAGTGAGCAGTGAGCAGCGAGCAGCAGCGAGCAGTGTGCACCTGGTGGCGTCTGAGCATGTCGAGACCAAAGAGGAAGTCCACGTTGTCCGCCTCCAACACTGTGATGCTGCACATGTAGAAGTTGGTCCCTATCTGACGCCCGCCATGGGTCCATGCCATTGCCCCATGCACATGGTAGGCACACGCACACGCACGCCGGGGCACCCGCATGCACACACACACACACACACACACACACACACATGCGCACGCACAGAGACAGGCACATGCACGAAAGGGAACGTGCACATACACACATGCAATGGCGCGCACATGGGGAGAGGAGGATGTGCACATGAGAACGAGTAGGAGATGATTTGGTAATGACTAGTCAGCCCCACACGCCCCCCTTTCACTCTCCTTATTCCCCATCAGCCACCACCTTTCCCCTGCTGCATCCCCCACTACCGTCTTCCACTACCCCTATTCCTCCTCCACTCCCACCCATCCTCCCACCGAACCCCTTCTAGCCCACCTCCCCACCTCCCCTGCTCCCTCTTCCTCTCCGTTCCTCTCAGCCGCTCTCCACCACCTCCCCCCACCTTGAGCTGCACGGCATGGATGCGGCCCACGATCTTGGATGTGCCCACGCCCCTTGCCACGCCCTCGTACCGCTTGTCCAACAGCCGCATCAACCTGCACTCACGCATGCATGCATGCACACATGGATGCACACATGCACACATGCATGCATGCACGGATGCACACATGCACACATGCATGCATGCATGGATGCACACATGCACACATGCATGCATGCACGGATGCACACATGCACACATGCATGCATGCACGGATGCACACATGCACACATGCATGCATGCACGGATGCACACAGGCATGAACGCACACATGTATGCATGCACACATGCGCGCACGCAAGCATGCCCACATGCACACACCCAAGCATGCACACATGCATGCACGCATACATTGATGCAAGTATAAACGTCGGAAGAGGGAACCGAAGATGAAAGAAGGGTGAGACGACACGAACAGTGGACAGCTGTGCATTGCGGATGACTGATGGGGATGGTGGAAAGATACATGGTACGGACATGTGCGAGGGGAGCAGGTGAGAAGGGAGCAGGGTGACATGGAAGAGGGGTGAAGCAGATGAAGCAGCATGAAGGCGCAGTGCAATGGGCATGGGTTGTAGAGTCAGAGAGATGGCGTACCCGCATCGCTCAGCGCATCGCTGTGACATGATGGTCTGCTGTGCGCCACTGTCCACAAATGCCTGCATGGGGGTGGTTGGTTGGTTCATAGAGCCATGGGGATGGGGCGATCGAATGATGATGTGAAGGGGTGAGGCTGATGAGGCGACCGGAAATGAGGTGACGTGATTAAGGGATGACGGGTGATGCGGGCACGTAGTGCAGCATGCATGGGGGCACATTGACAGAGGGAAGATGCGAAGTGGCATAGTGGAAAAGACTGGCAAGTGCGGGAGATGCGTGACGAGGGTGGTGCAGCACGTGGAAGAGGGGAGGGCGCCCCGCTGTGATGTGATGGGCGAGATGTAAACCTCCATGCCCACACATAGCGTGGCAGCCCACATATAGCATGCAGAGGGGAGAGGCTCTTGACTTATCCCAAAGCACAAATCCCCTCTGCAGATAAGCATAGCTGATCTGCCACTCCCTCGGTTGTTATTCGTCCAAAAAGGTACCTTGATGGGCGAGTTGTTGACCTCCATCTCCACATACAGCATGTGCTGGGGGGAGGGGGGCGGGAGGGGATGGGAGGGGAGGGGAGGGGAGGGGAGGGGAGGGGAGGGGAGGGGAGGGGAGGGGAGGGGAGGCACCAGCAAAACGAGTTATTCTTCCAAGAAGGTATGGGCGAGTTGTTGACCTCCATCTCCACATACAGCATGTGCTGGGGGGAGGGGGGGGGAGGGGATGGGAGGGGAGGGGAGGGGAGGGGAGGGGAGGGGAGGGGAGGGGAGGGGAGGCACCAGCAAAACGAGTTATTCTTCCAAGAAGGTATGGGCGAGTTGTTGACCTCCATCGCTACATGCAGCATGTGCTGGGGGAGGGGGGCTGGAGGGGATGGGAGGGGTGGCGCCGGTAGAGCGAATGACACAGAGCGGGGGAGAACGGCGGAGGATGGTGAGCGGAACAGGGTTGCATGCACGGCACACATGCACCACGAATAGGAGCAATCATGGTGGGAGCAAGGCGGGGAGCATGGTGGGAGGGGAGGGATGTATGGTGGGAGGGGAGGGAAGCATGGAGGGAGAAAGCAGGGCATGGTGTGGAGGATGGATAAGAAGCTCACCACAGCAATGAACTGCTCGGGGGCGTGCTCATATGCCGCTGCATAGTTCTCATCTATGTTTTTCTGCTCGCATGACACAGCGCAGCAGCACACACATGCATTCGCCCATGCGCGCATGAGATGCATGCACGCATACATTCACACACATGCGGGATCCGTACAAAGAGAGAAAGGTGAGAGTTGCTGGACATGGAGAGGAGGGTGGAAGGGGCGGTATGAAGGAGGAGAGTTGGGGGTGACAGATGCATGTGGGCAGCGCAAAGGAAACCAGGGCATGGCACGGGTCGATAACACGATGAATGGATGGACAGCATACATGCGGCACAACGTACAGTGAACTGGTAAGGCAGAGAGACATGGCGTGGCATGGCATGGAAGGGTGTGGCACGGCATGGAAGGGTGTGGCATGGACAACCCACCTGCTGAATGCGCTCCTCTATCCTCCGCTGCACCTCAGGGTCAAATGGATCGGCTGATAGCAACTCCTGCACCCATGCACCCATGCACCCATGCACCCATGCACCCATGCACCCATGCACCCATGCACCCATGCACCCATGCACCCATGCACCCATGCACCCATGCACCCATGCACCCATGCACCCATGCACCCATGCACCCATGCACAGACGCACAGATGCACAGATGCACAGATGCACACATGGAGACACATGGACACATGCAAACACACAATAAGCACACATGCACACATGAGCACACACTCGCGCGCGCGCAAAAATCAGACACAATAAATAATACGGCCACTACGCATGCGAACAAACGTCAAACAGAGGTGCACATGGATTAACGATGGGAGACGCATACAGGAAACCATGAGCGAGACACATGCGCATGCACCTGCTCCTCCTGCTCCTTGCGGCGCATGTCGTTGTGCATCTTCCTCATCCAGCGCAGCACCTTCTGCATCTCCTCCACCTTGTTGTCCCTTATCGCCTCCCCCAACTCCGGTGTGCTCTGATGGTGTACCAACACACACGCGCACATGCACGCACGCGCACACAGGCACATGCACACACTCACACACACACACACCCACACACACACACACAGACTCATCCACACACACACTATCCCTCCCCCCCCCCCACGCCAACACACACACACACACACACACACACACACACACACACACACACACACAGATAAGGGAGGGGGTGCAGGGAGCGGGTTGGAGATTGAGATAGAGGGTGTGGCGAGGAAAGGCGAATAAAGGCGGCAAGGAGGGAGAGCAAGAACATTACTGGCACACTGGCTATGAAGTACCACACCATGCCCCACCATAACACACCATGCCATGCCACACAACACCATGCCATACCACGCCATACCGTTGCATTATATCATGTACCACGACATGTCACGACACGCCACACCACACCATGCCCCACCACACCACGCCCCACGACGCCACAGCTCCAAGAGCATACCATGAGCAGGCGCGCCATGAGGTCAGGGTCGCTGAGCACGTGCTGTCGGAACGCCTGTGGGTCCACCGCTGACCCGTCCTCCTGCTGCGCCATCGCTGCTGGCGCCGCTGCTGCTGCTGCTGCTGCCGCTCCTCCTGGTGCGCGCGCTTGGGGCTGAGACGCTCCTCCTTGGGGTGCGCGCTGCTGTGATGGCTGCTGCCTGGTGGCCGGGTGGGGATGGGCGATGCATGTGCAGGGCAGGTGCAGAGTGACGTCATGTACGGTGCAGAGTGACGTGACGTACGGTGCAGAGTGACGTCATGTACGGTGCAGAGTGACGTCATGTACGGTGCAGAGTGACGTCATGTACGGTGCAGAGTGACGTCATGTACGGTGCAGAGTGACGTCATGTACGGTGCAGAGTGACGTCATGTACGGTGCAGAGTGACATCATTTAGTCTATAGACGAGGGCAAGCAGCGTGAGAGTCAACGACATAGAGGTAGGCACGAGGAAGAGTGGCGGGAGAGGGGTGGGGGGAACGAGGAGAGCAGGCAGGCCAAGATAAAGACATGTTTCAGATGAGACTTTCAGATGAGAGGAGGGGCGGGCAGCAGCTGGTAAGGTGGAATAACTGTGAAAGTACCGTGTGAGGAAGAGCAGGTCGTTGTCTGCGACACCCAGTGCGTTGAGTCGCTGGTGGTTCTGCAGCAGCTGCCCGTTGAACAGCAACGCTTGCTGCGGCAAGGGAATGCCCGTCTGTGTGCACACAGCGATAAGCACGCACACGGGCCAGCACACGGGACAGCGTGCATAGCGGCGCACGTGGTAGGACAAAGAGGGGAACACATGCAAGCACGCGCACAGGGACAGAACGGAAGGCATGACAGTCACGGGCACACATGAAGGGCGAACTGAAAGGCGACAACGGGCAGTGAAGCCTGGACAGATGGCGTGGCACGCAGCAGCCGCAGCAGCCGGCATGAGAAGCAGCACGAGAAGCAGCATGAGAAGCAGCATGAGAAGCGGCATGAGAAGCAGCTGTGAGGGAAGGGACGGATCGGCGGCAGGTATGGATCAGGGTACGAGAGGGGGGAAGTAGGTGCGGAGACTAGCGGAATTCAAGGACGCACCTCGACTTCTAGAATCGCCTTCACGTTTTCCACCTGCGGGAAGACAGACGCAGAGAAGAACGGGAGGGCAGTGAGCGGCAGGGATGGCGGTTCGAGCACAGAAATAGCGGTCTAGGAGTGGGTGCAACGCGGGCTTCCGAGAGATAAACGAGATGTCAATCACAGCGGTTGTGAGTCATGAGCGATTTGCGCGAAGCGATTGGCGGGAGATCGTGCGGAAGCCATGCCATCACTCTACGCTCGACTTCGAATCCGAAGGTGGAGGAGGGGTGATGGAGCGACGAGCGAACGAAGCGAGCGAACGCACCAGCTCGTCGTTGTCGACTTGGATCATGACGATCCGATCGTCCGCTGTCGTCACCGTTAACTGCATCGCGGCGAGATTCGTTGGCACAGAGGTAGCGCGGAGCAGCGAGCGAAGGAAGGGAATAAGGTGGATGAAAATCCCGAAATCGTGTAAAAGGAGATGGCAGTTAGTTAGTAAATAGCATCTGAAGCTTCTCAGACGACGGCTCCCTGTACTTGGAGGTTCCAGATTCCTTGGCGACAGAAGCCCGGTGCGTTGCCGAGCGTTGCGGCTGAACTTTCCAACCGGTTATAGTGCGATCACTACTGTATAAGCATCCGCTCTTTTTCAAACCTACGACATCAAACCAGAGTCACCATCAGCTATGCCTAAGGGAAAAATAAATAACAAACGAAAGAATCCCTGGGGTCTGAACATTTTTTTCATCTAACAACTTCGTTACTCAAAAGCCAATTAGAAGACACCTACAACACAAATAGCAACCAAACGCTACCCCCTCCTGATAATGTTATAGAAAGACCCTCTACTCCAGTCACACTGCAGAAAATGGTTCTCCCCAGGTTATTCCTTCAACCTAATCCCTTCCCTCAATACTCCTTGCCAAGTTGGTCCTAACACCACAGTACACCTGACAACGCTGCAGCGGAAGGTACGCCTTCCAGCAAACAAGGCGTTTGCCCTAGTCCAAACGAAGGGGCGGGTGCAGATGAAGCAGGCAGTGCTGGCACTGGTGGTCTTGAGGGTGATGGATGGTGCGATGATGGAGGTGAAACTGCTGCTGCGGGTGGTGGGAGGAAGATTGGGTGGTGAAAGGAAGAGGCTGCAGGAGGACTTCAACGTGCAGTTGAATGCATCTGATTGCCACCAAACGCGATACCACAGGAGCCTGTCATGAAAGGGGAATAAGGCAGATCCTTACCACACAGGGCATGCAGCAAAAGATGAGGGGGAAGTCAGGAAACACAGGATTAAAAATACAAGAGCGTAACTACACTAAAAATTTGAGTAATTTGTTAAAGGTCTTAGAGGATAGCGGAATGGACGTCTAATGATAAGCGACAGATCTCGCAGACGAGCGCTTGCTAGAATCGATTTAGTGGCTCCGTAAGGCGCGTGCCATCCTTGTCATCGCACTATGGTAACAGATAGTTAGAAAAAAAAATGCATAAAGTAACTTGCGTGTCTTTAGCGAATTGCTGCGGTGCTCCAAGTGCATGCACGTAGCGCTGGACGGCATACGCGTGCCTAGTGCTGACACGTGAAGTTAAGCTTAAGTTTCGTATCCTATTGCAAATGCTGCAGCAACAGCGCAGGTTGACGGTGGCGCGCAAAAGGAGTCCTTTATTTAAGGCAGCAAAGCTTTAAAAACTAATAATAAAAATTCAAATAAACGATTCCAAGGCACAGCAGCCAAGAACAGCAGACAAGAAATACCAGAGAGAAGAGCCTAGGGCAGAAGAGTACAATACCGTGAGATCGTCGCCGGAGAACCCGCGGGTCCTTTAGACTTGGAAGACGACGCAGCGACGGTCCTCGGGGAAGTAGGAGTAGTTCTGCCCCTTGTTGACGTTCGACACCATGTTGTACACGCTGATCTCGATCGCCGTCAGGTTCACTCGCACGTACTTGCCCTGGTACGGCGCCACGCCGCCCGTCGCAGGCTGGAACGTCCGCGACTGGATACCGTCCTGCACCGCGTAGAACTGGTTATCGGGTCCCAGCGTTGTCGAGTTACCGGAGCTGGAGGACGGCGCGCTCCAGACGTTAACGCCGTCCTGGCAGATGTAGTCCGCCAGCTCGCTGTTCGCCGCAATCACATCCACCGTCGCGCCGCGAATAGACGCCTCGATGGGCCCGCCGAGGCGAGTGTCGCCGACGCCATCGGAGATGTTGAAGACGGGGAGAGCGGACTGGCTGCCCTGGAAATAGAAGTCGCACATGTTGGGCAGCGGCGGGCAAGGGCCCTGAGGAGGGGGCGGGGGAGGGGGTGGCACCGACGGCGAGGCAGCTTGCGTCGGCACGGCTGTAGCGTCAACCGTGTCGCCGGATTGCTGCGAGGGGGTGGACGGGGTCTTGGGAGTGGTTTTCGGGTCGCTGCCGGGGGTCGAGGTAACGGTACCGGGGAAAAGCGGGTTACCCGACTGCCCGAAGTTGCCAGAAGAGGAGCCGCCCGACGCGAAACCGTCGCTGGGCGAGCTCCCCGCAGGGCTGGAGGGGGCAGCCGGAGTGGAAGGGGTAGCCGGAGTGGAGGCGGCAACAGAGGTGGCGGGATCCGTGGCCCCGCCGGAAGGAGCTGCTTCCGGCTTCGCGGGCTGTTTAGCGATTTCGTAGGTGAATCCAATCTTGGAGAGCTGCGACTTCTGAAGCGTAGGGAACTCAAACAGCTTACGTGCGCGGGCCCACAGGCTGCGGCGCGAACGCGATGCATATTGTGCGCTCGCGCCGCCAATGCTTGCTGCGACAAGCAGCAGCACCAAGAACTGCAGAAGCAAAGGCTGCGGCTGACGTGAAGGAGCCATTGCAGAAAGACTAGAGAATTAACACCCCTAGGAACTTTCAGGGAAGAAGGCGCTAAAACAAGGGTTCCTGTCCAGCCAGCAGTGAGAAGGGCTGGGGATTTATGGAGAGGAGAGGGGGCTCAAAGTGAATGCCAGAAAAGTGGGAGAGATTAGGATGGGAAATAGGATGGGTGGAGTTGGTGGATTGAAGGTGCTTTGAGTAGGGGTTGGGCTGGGTCCCAGGTGGGTGAGCAAGGGCTGGGTGGGTGAGCAAGGGCTGGGTAAGGGGAGCACTCCAAGATCGCAGGGAGGGCGGAACATCACAAAAGTGAGGGTGTTTGGAAGGAACTCGGAAGTCAATGAACGCGCCGCCGTAGCCCCCAAGGGCAAGGCGCGCGAGAAGAGGTGCTAATCCACCAGTCTGGTGCTCGCAGGCGGGGCCGCAGGAACCGGCGCTTGGGTTGACTAGCGCAAGTGTTGCGCCGGTGTGTGATATCCACACCACAAGACCAAGGCGGAGCGCGAGAGCGAACCGCTATGGCGGCGTCGCGCGCCGTCCAAAGGAAGCAAGGTTCCGAGTCCGAGCCTGTACCACAAGCGCGAACCTACCAGCTAACCATCCGGTGAACGCCACGTCAAAAGATTCCAGACCAACATAGGCGCAAAACTCAACACATTATTGGTGGAGCGGAGCCACGTAATCGAGAACGAGTACCCAAGCCGTGGTGGAGGCTCGGACTCGCCATGAAAGTCTTCTCTGCAAGCTATTAGAAGCAGAACCTTGCCGTACAATATAAGGACATTTCCACCCTCACTCCAGCATGATTACATTAAATAGTACTCACATGGTATTCATGTTCAATATTCGATGTTTGATCTGTAAAGGCATAAAGAACTATATATATTTTATTTATAAAGCTTAGGTGATGCCTTAAAAATGACGGAACTAAGATTACCATGAGCCACTGAAGCATCATTTACACAATAAGTAATATAAGCTGAGTGAGCCAGATTGTAACATTAATGTAACTGCATGGATACTTTCGCAAGAATTGTCCCTGACAGCAACAAATAACCGCCAAGCGTCTGCCAAACCGTCCTACTGACGCTTGGCAATGACAGACTGGCTTTCGTCTTCGTGATTCTTCCCGCCCCCCATCATCATCGTATGGCCCCTGTGAGACGAATTTCAGCCCCTGCTATCATGATCGCGGCTGATGCCCAGAAGCTTTCGCTCGGACTTGGCGTCAACCCTAAGATTTGTCGAGCGCATTCCTGACGTAAACCTAATCTTGTTTTCTCGAGTTTGTTTGGCACCACGATCTTTAGTTGTTAAAGTGTCGCAGACTAAGCGGAGGTTGTATCAATTCTCTTGCTTCTTGTGAATCCAGTCGTCGCTTACCACATCATCAGAATTCCTACAACGAGCACCACATTGACGTTTCCCAGTCCACCTATTCCAAGCTGTAAATAATTGGTCGTCGAAAGCCATGGCTCTAGTGCCATTCAACGACAGATCTAACGCATCTCCTCCTGAAAGCTCCTCAATTACGGACAGTCGGAACGGAGGGCTTGTGGTGTGGGAAGCCTCCCCCGACGACACGGACGACCTCGCGTTCGTGCAGGCTCTCGAACTCGCCGAGGCCTCGGCCAAGCGACGCCGCACGGGAGAATCTGGCGGCCACAATCAGTGGACAGGTCGGCATACGGCCGTCGCCAGTGCAGGGAACACGCTTGGCGGTGCTGAAGATCAAGGTGGTGGCTGGAGCGGAGGCGGGGCGAGTGGTACGAGGAATACTGGTGTAAACGCCGGTGTTAGTAGGAGCAGCGTGGTCATCACGGAAGTGACTCGCAATGATTATGCTGGCGCAGCTCCGCGCCAACAAGGCCAGCAACAGAACCGGCAGGGACGACAGCAGCAGCAACAACAACAGCAGCAGCAGCAGCAGCAACATCAACGATGGCAAAGGCACCCAGATGGGTTGAGGCAAGCAGGGGCCACTCTGAGGCAGTGTGAGAGAGTGCAGTCAGTTGCTGGAGCGAGAGATGTGGCAAGTGCTAATGGTGCAGTGGTTGCTCCCGCGTTCTCCACCCAGCCTGCAACGCCAGATAGGTCGGGCAACCACCTTTCTTGGAGCAACCAACAGCAGCAGCAGCATCAGCATCAGCATCAGCATCAGCAACTGTACCAGGAGCAGCAGCAACGGCAGCAACAACAGCTAGTGGTTGCACCCTCAAGTGGTTTTGGTGCTCCGGTACCTGCTGCCGCATCTCCACTCCCCAGCCTCTCCGCGCAGCCACCTTCACCAGCGCAGCCTGCTCAACCTGTTGTCATGCGTCCAGCAGACTTTCGAAACATGCAGTCTGCTGCACTGGACGTGGGTACCTAATTGGATTATATCTTGAAGATTCCAACTTTATATTTGCCCAGTACATCTCTTCTCTAATCTCTTGTCTGTCTGTGTGCTATGTGGACATGGCAGGTTCTTGAGCCTGGTGATTACATGGTCATGCAAGGGAAACCATATATCAAGAAGTCGGGTATGTTCCATTCTCCGTTCCTGTCCAATTGGTTCCATATGACCATTTTGCCCTTTTTCGCTTAGATTTGTATTTTCCCGTTGCACATTCAGGCTGGCGCAAAATTGCATTCTTTTTCAACTTGTCATTCGAAATCCGAGACAAGACCATCGAGAGGGACGAGCGTGGTAACGTTACAAGATCGGAGTTTCTTGTTCGAGCCAGCATGCCGTAAGATCAAAAGCTTACACTTTGCATTTGCTGAGCTTCTCAAGTTGTTCTACCAGTTTTATTACATACATTTCTTGTTCCTCAATGCAGTTCTGGCAGGTTCTCTGATGCGTGGGGCTCATGTGACCGGGGAGAGAAGAGGTTCAGTAAACCGAACCACGATATTCCAGGCACTGCTGAGACTCGAGCTAAGAGCCGGGCATGCCAGGTGAGAGCTCTCATACACTCCCCCTTCCCCCCTCCCCAGCGCAGTGAGCATTTTGGCAGCTGATTGATGTGAGCCTTGATGGGTTTTGGACATTGTTTTAATGCGCAGGACCTTTTGGGGATTGGAGAGTGCAAGCAGCATCGCTAGCGATTTCTGGTGTCCGTTCTGTTTGTCCCATCATGCGTTTTGCACTGCGTAGGGTGGTTAATTTGTTTCTGCTGCAATACACTTGTAGTCCAGAAGTAGGCTTAATGGTGTATAGTTTACTACATTCATTGCTGTCTTCATTGAGTGTCTAGATATGTGCTACAAGAGCTACGGTGTTCTGGAATCTTGGACCTCCTTGGTACTGCCGTCAGCCAAGCATGATTTCCCGCGTTCTGGCAGCTCAGTGCGAAAACAGCACGAATCGACACAACTCCGTGTCAGAAAAGTGAGGAAGAACCTGGGGGCTTCGGTCAGCTCAGCAGCAGCACCTCGAGAACTTCAAATCAAACCGGCGCATAATCGATGCGCACTCCGCCAGCGCCACAGGTCTCCGTGCGGCTGCATGCTTCCGCTGGCTCGGTTTTCTTCCCCCCTTTCCCCCTTCAGCTTCCGTTTGCGCCAGCCGAGATCCACTCCACATTCGCGGGATTCCTTGGTTTCCCTTGGAGTGAAGGAATTCAGTTCAGGAAATCAAACAGCTGTGACGGTATTTTCCAGAAAGGCCTAACATTGGCGAAGCTTTGTTCTGCTATTTGTTAGAATCCCCTAAAGATTCCTCGACAACGTATCTGCTGGAACGTTCAGTACCTCCGTCTCCGCCAGTATGAGCAAATTCGACACCAACCCGTTCGATGAGGGCGGCGAGAGCAGCAGCAATGCTGTGAGTGATCGAGACAAGAGCTGGTTATTGTATCCGCTGCGCACGTCTCGTATTGTCGACGGCCTGCGTTATCGTTGCGTTTTACGGAATCGAGTGAATCTCCGTCCGATCGTCTGCGAATGTCTGGAGATCTACGTGGAAATCTTTTAATTGCTGTGACCTCCTCCGCTCCTCCCCCCCTCCTGTGTGTATATTCAGGCTCCTGTTCCGAAGTCGGGTCTCGGTTCCTTTTTCGACAAAGTAAGCTTACGACGCTCAGCTTAGTTCCAGCATGTTGTTTCATGCATTCTCGACATTATCTTGTGATACACTGCCCCTCCCACGTGTTATACGCTGCCTCTCTTATAAGTGGTCGCTGCTTCTCCTGATGGCCTTCAAATCGTTGTGGTACTCAACCCCTGTGGTTATCTTTTCCCGATCGCCATCTCGCTATGCCGTACTGACATAGTTCAAGTCGTTACTTGCAGGCTGGAGCGGCTGTCTCATCCATGGCGGCGTCGTTTGACAGCGTCGCTTTGACGCCCAAGGTTCGTCCTCTCCCCTCGTCTTTCCCCCTGCTCTATCCCTTCTTGGCACCATATTCGGTACCTTTTATTTCTTCTTTTACTCGTTACGACAAAGCTTTGTTTGGAACTTGTCGACGAGGTTACGAACATGTGCTTCTATGGCCACAGGACATCGTGGAGAAGGAGACTCAGCTGGCTGCGAGAGAACAGGAGCTCAAGCGGAGAGAGGAGGTCAGTTGGTTACCCGCTTGTCGCTGTCAGGTCTTCGCTGCTTGTTGTATTTGCGAAGGGATGAGGCCGATAAGATGCAGCTCATCGATAGTATTTGCTGTCAGCTTCGGTTTTCGTGTCTCGTTTCCGACTGATTCGTCTTCATTTGTCTGTGTTTCTCCTCCCCCGTTCTCTTCCTCTCGCGCGCTGCTTCGCGATCATGTGCGTGTGTCGGGAACGCGCGTGACCACGTGTCTGGATATTTCACGCCAGGAGCTCACCCAACGCGAAGCATGTAAGTTACCGTTTCGCTATGAACCTGCACGACCTTAAATTCGCTCTGCCCATATCATTCACGTTGTTCTGTCTCTCTGCATCTCCGCCGTATTTCAACGCCGCATCATGTCCCCGACTCCCATCCCGTGCGCTGGTTTGCTGCTTGCCTAACTCCACGCCCCTCTCTCTATCTCTCTCCCGCGTGCCGATCTCTTCTCGCCCGTACCAGCGCTGGGGATCCAGCGCAACAACTTTCCGCCGTTCTTCCCCCTCATCCAGCACGACATCTCCGCGGACATCCCCTCCCACGTGCAATACATGCAATACCCCGCCTTCGCCTCCTGGCTCGGTGCGTCGCCTCGCCCACTCTTTAAACTGCTCGCTCGCAACTTCCCCCTCTCTTGTATCTCTTTCTGACGTGTTCCTTTTCGCGTGCTTTATTACGTTTCCACCACTTCCTCATTACGTCTCGTTTCCCCTCTCAACTTTCCTTCTTCCCGTCCACTCCTCTGCGTCACTCTCGGCTCATCGCCCTTTCCGTTTCCTCCCACCCACGCACACCGCGCGTGCAGGCATCATTCTGTGCCTGGTGTTCAACCTGGTCGCAGTGATCGTGTCGTGGGTGCTCGGCGCTGTCAGCTCCACCTCGGGTCCGTATCGCCTCGCTCGTGCCCCTCACTGCTTCCCTTCCAGACTTCCCATTGCTGAAACCGCAATGTTTCGTCTGGACATTATTGTGGAATAATAATCATCTTTGGACAGCCATGCATTGCCCCACTTCCAAAAAAGCTGAGTGTTAACAAGAAGAACCACGGCACCTTCTCCTCTCCCAAACTCCCCTCCTCCCCCATCCCCCCCCCCTTCTTCCCCCCCTCCTCGTCCTGCCCTCCTCCCTCTCCTCGCCCCACTCGCCATGGCGTGGGTGTGCGGGCACCAGGCATGGGTAACTTCTTCCTGGCCATCATCTACGGCGTGCTTGGCATCCCCCTCTCCTATATCCTGTGGTACCGCCGCCTCTACAACTCACTCAAGTACGTCACCTACTCCCAAACCTGCTCGAAGACAACGAGCGTATGTGCTGCTCTTAAGCCTGCTGCACATGAAAACATCCCGTTCCTGTTCTAAGCATTGGCCTAATTATTTCTGTTTCGTTCTTGCATTGTACTGGGCGTTAGACTGCTCAAGTAGGTTTTTCTGCTATCGAATTCACCCCTTCTGTTTGTTCCTCGTATCCTGTTCAAAATCTTCGTTCAAATTGCATTCTCGTGGTGATGGCTCACAGGAAGGACAGTGCGCTTGGCTTTGGAATCTTCTTCCTCGGGTACCTGGTGAGTGGAGCACTCTGTGCGCCCCACATCTTATTCCGCCTGTAAATGTGCACGTCATCACATCCCACCAGTGTCAGGAATCCCATTGGAAAGCGATGTTTCGTTGTCAATCCTAGTCGCCTGGTCTACTGTTTTCTCAGAACTGCATTTCCAAAACACCGCCCCTAATCTCAAAAACACTCTCTGCTGTTGGTTGGGTCTCCTCCTCCGCCCCCCTCTTCTCGCATGTCCTCCTGTGTCCGCCGCCCTCAGATCCATTGTGGCTTCTGCATCTTCGCCTCAGTCGCTCCGCCCATTTTCTTCAGTGGCTTGGCCCTCACGTGAGTTCCAGACCACCAGCAGTAGCCACCTTCCTTTCCTGCTGCTTTTACAAGCTCATGTGATTCGCATTTCACAGTTGATTCTGCTCTTAACGATGACAGATACGTTTCTGCTCTGTTTGCCGTTCCCCCTCTACCAGCGGAGTGCTCTCCACCATCTCGGTCTTTGGTAACTCCGTTACAACTGGGGTAAGCGCCCTCCTTCTTTACTCATCATTGCTGCTCTGCACCTCCTGATCTGCTCGTACTAATCCAATGCTAATGCCCCCCTTGGCCGGTTTCGGATGGGCATGTACTGTCTCCACCGTTTGCCCATCAGATCTTCTTTGCTGTTGGTACAGCTCTCTTCATTGGGGAGACGTGCCTGTCCATATACACCCTGGGGTAAGTTCTCCCCCCCTTCACGCTTGTACTCTTTTCCTCCCAGAACCACATATTGCATGCGATTTTACGATCTTCTCGTCCCTTTCATCCAGTGCATCTCCGCCCAGTCAGTCCTTGTTGCATGCTCTGCTTGTGTATCCTCTGGTGCTTTGTGCTCTGCGCCTGTGCACCTCTTAAAAAATGCTGCTTCTCTTTCCTACTCCCGCGTTGTGCTCAGCTTGTGTATGCTTACTTCCGAGGAGAGGGCAAGAGCAATCAGTTCCGGCGGGAAGCAGCAATGGCTTCAGCGGGTATAGGGAACACTGAAGTGTAAAAGCACACCATGTCACACTGTGTTCTGCCGCATACAGTAGTCTTTCTCCTGTTACTGTACCCTGCTGTGGGTAGATGTAGATTCAGTCAATACACTTTGTTAATCTGAGCGCCAGTCTAGCATGGATGGCAGGTAGGGGCAAGCCGTACGGTGGTATGTGACTACGGTACACGACTGCATCTGCTGATTCAATACCAGCTCAGGTGTCCAGCTTGGAAATACTTGTCATGGCTTGTGAGTAGCTAAAAGCAGTGCACAACTCATGGTTTGCCTTTCACATGACTCTACCACTGCAGACGAATCTCTGCCTTGATTGCTGGAGAGTTTTTGCATTCCCCTCCACAGCATACAGAAGCAAGGAGGGCCAGAAATGAGAGAATGATCTGAAATGAGAAAGAGATTAGTAGAGACCACACACAGTCCAAGTGATTGGACTTTAAATTCATTGGCAATGGCTTGCTATCTCCTGTCGTAACACACTGTCACTCAGGGCCTATGCCGGTACTTTAGCACCTCCCAATCTTTCTAACAGCCTTTTGCTGTGCTTCACTCATTGTTCTGTCTACCCCTCTTCTTCCTCATCCTCATCTTCCTCCTCTGATTCATCTTCCTCATCCTCCTCATCGTCTTCCTCCTCCTCCTCCTCCTCTTCCTCGTCCACCTCAAACTCTTCATCATCCTCATCCTCCTCCTCTGCGTCTGCCCCCTCCCCTTCCTTTCCCGCTTGACTCCTTCCGCCTGCACTGCCCACTCCAACAGCGGCCGCCGCAGCAGCATCGCCACCACCACTACCATCGCCGCCTTCCGCTATCCTCACGCCAGTGCGCCTCGACTCCCTCCCACTGCGAGTCCTACTCGCCACAATATTATCTAGGTCCACTGTCCCCCACGGCTCCGCCACTATCCGCACGTCTGCGCCTTCCCCCGCATCTTCTTCCGCGTCCGCCTCCGCACCCTCGGGCGCGCCTTGCGACCCCTCCCCCGCGCGCCAATCCCGCGAAGCCCTCACAGCAGCCGCGGCCGCGCCGTTGCTCCCATCATCGCTGCTGCTTCCGCCGCCGCCGCCGCCGCTAGAATCGCTACTGCGCGCGCGCGAGGGCCGCTCGCTCTCCGCCTTGCCCTTCCCCTTCGCGTCCGCCGCCGCCACTGATTTTCCCTTGTCTCGCCTCTTCGCCTCGTGCGCATCTCCTTCGTCGCGCCGATCGCTTCCGCCCGCCCCAATCTCCGCCTTCCGCTTCTGCCCAATGCTCTCCGCCGCAGCGGTCTCTGCTGGGATATCTGACGCTTTTTCTGCCATAACGAGGAAACGGAAACGGAGAATGGTGAACGGAGAATGGGGAACAGAAAGTCGGGAATAGGGTGGTGGTGGTGGTGGAGGACCGCGAGAAAAAGCACCGTTGCTCAAAGATGCGTTGATTCGAAATATACCGTACATCTATCAAATTAAAACTAACATTCTTTAGTGTGATTAGACTCCTTCGTGTACCAGGTCTGAAAAATCTGAGACATGTTCATGTCAAGTAATTCTTTGTATATACCTTTAGCTATACCTCCCTACCAGAACACCTGCATTCTCTTTAGTACTAACAGCAAGCTCATGATATTGAAGGTGCACTAAATATGATCCATCTACCATTCTCTGCCTAGACATTGGTAACAAATTGTTGCATCCAAGCTAAAAGTACTTCTACTATCCATTCTAGTGGCAGCATGCCATCCATGCCCACCCCGGCATGGACTGGCAGCGCAACAGGCAGAGGTAAGGCTGAGCCTTGAGCATTGCTTCGCCCAAGACGTGCGGGTGCCCTACTAGGGACTGGCTCTGCTCACCCCCACCTCCACCAAATGACAGCACTGCTGGCCAGACAGTGTTGGCACTTGGCGGGGGCGGAGGGGGACAGAACCAGTCTGGTTTGGCCCGGAGTCGACTGCTCAGCCAATGCTCAAGGGTTCACCCTCTCTCATGCACTGTCTTCAACCTTCAACAGCCATAAGGAACCTGCATGGTAAGAAAGAAATAAATTAGTCCAGGCTCTTAAAAAACAACAAGGAGGCAGCATGCGACAAAGCAAAATGACAACACAAATGCATAAGAAAGGTTTAGCAAAACCGACTAGGCGCAAAAGACTGAGACTTATCTGCAGTTGGGGAGTTGAAGGTGTTGAGCAGTGCGCAGGGACTTGAGCCTTCATGGTCGTGAAGAGATGCATTGAAGAGAGCCCTTGGAGAGAACCTGCCAAGAGGTAAACGAACCAAGTCAGTGAACGGAATCATCATGAAGCCACAACTTGAATAAAGCAAGCGTGGAAGCAGACGAAGGGGAATGTGCAGCAAACTAAGCAAGCGTTAAAGACAAGGGGCAGGCCACTTATCTCGCCATTCTTGATCATTGAAGCGCCTCAGCAGACCATGTTGCTCCCATGGATGTTGGACATGCTGAAGGTCCCTTGGTTGACCAACCTGCCACATGAAGTAAAAATAAAACCAAGTTAGTAAATGAAGTAGTAACTTTAGAATCACTAAGCAACAGAAAGCAAGAGATGAGGGGTAAAGTCCAGAGAGAGGGGACTTACTGCTGGTGGAGAGAGAGGAGGCGCCTGCCAGTGGTGTCGGCAGGTACGTTCACCCCGCGCTTAGCAGTGTGGCAAAAGCGCCTTGAATAGAACCTGCAAGAATAAACAAGCGAACGTTAGTAAATTGAATTAACAAAGGATGAAAAAACGGAACTCAAAGTATACTTACCTTACCACCACAGAGCCGATTACCAACCAAAGATACCTGTACCGCACCTGTACCAAACCTATACCGAACCTATACCGGGGGGAGTGGCTCTGTGGCGACGATACGTTCAACCTTCACCGGGGAGGTAAGTTGGGGAGCTGCTCCTTTGCTTCCGTGAAGCTTGGAAGGTTGATGTAATGAAGGACGTTGGTCCTCCAATGCCTTCTGAAGTGGCGCCCAGGAGCCTCCGTATACAACCTGCAAGTATAAAAACGGATGAGTTAGTAAATAGAATATAAAAAAATGCAAAAACTATGCAAAAGCGAAAAAAAACACATGCTGCTGCTTACCACAGCACACAGAGCCGATTACCAACAAAGAAAAATACCAGGAGACCTTTACCGCACCTTTACCAAACCTGTACTAGACCTGTACCAAGGGGGATGGCTCTGTGGTGGGGTTGATACATTCAACCTTCACCGTGAAGGTAAGTTGGGGAGCTGCTCTTTGCTGCCGTAAAGCTTGGAAGGTTGATGTAATGAAGGCCGTTCGTCCCCCAATGCCTTCTGAAGTGGTACCCAGGAGCCTCCAAATACAACCTGCAAGTATAAAAACGGATGAGTTAGTAAATAGAATATAAAAAAAGCAAAAACTATGCAAAAGCGAAAAAAAACACATGCTGCTGCTTACCACAGCACACAGAGCCGATTACCAACAAAAAAAAATACCAGGAGACCTTTACCGCACCTTTACCAAACCTGTACCAGACCTGTACCAAGGGGGATGGCTCTGTGGTGGGGTTGATACATTCAACCTTCACCGTGAAGGTAAGTTGGGGAGCTGCTCCTTTGCTTCCGTGAAGCTTGGAAGGTTGATGTAATGAAGGCCGTTCGTACCCCAATGCGTTCTGAAGTGGCACCCAGGAGCCTCCATATACAACCTGGAAGTATAAAAACGCATGATTAGTAAATCGAATTAAGAAACGAGCAAAGACTATGCAAAAGCGGAAAAAAAACACATGCTGCTGCTTACCACAGCACCACAGAGCCAATTACCAACCAAAAAAAATACCAGGAGACCTTTACCGCACCTATACCAAACCTGTACCAGACCTGTACCAGGGGGGATGGCTCTGTGGTGGGTTGATACATTCAACCTTCACCGTGAAGGTAAGTTGGGGAGCTGCTCCTTTGCTGCCGTGAAGCTTGGAAGGTTGATGTAATGAAGGCCGTTCGTCCCTCAATGCCTTCTGAAGTGGCGCCCAGGAGCATCCATATACAGCCTGCAAGTATAAAATCGCATGATTAGTAAATCGAATTAAGAAACGAGCAAAAACTATGCAAAAGCGGAAAAAAACACATGCTGCTGCTTACCACAGCACCACAGAGCCGATTACCAACAAAAAAAAAAAAAATACCAGGAGACCTTTACCGCACCTGTACCAAACCTGTACCAGACCTGTACCAGGGGGGTTGGCTCTGTGGTGGGGTTGATACATTCAACCTTCACCGTTAAGTTAAATCGAGGAGCAGCTCCTTAGTTGCCCGCCATGAAGATTGGTTGGGAGGCTGCCAAATGTCTTCCCTCCACCAACGAGCAAGAGCCCCCATGCAAACTGCAACAATAAAAATGAGCAGAAGTTAGTAAACGGATTGAAGAAAAGAATGCACGAAAAACGAACAAAAAACGTAATCGAAAAACGACTGTTTGTGTACCTGACGTTGAAAACAATAACTAGGTGAAGTCATGACGCTCGGCGATTCAACCAATTGATCCATGCCAGGCTGACTGGTGGCGACGTGAAACGATGACGATGCTTTGAAGCCGCTAGAGTGAACGAAAGCTAAGCTCGGTTGACAATAATGTCAAGGAGGCTGACGAAACGAACTAATTTTCGAGGAGCGCGGGATGATCATGAATGGATCTGCAGGAAACCGTGCACCTGCCTGAATGCGGTCCGTTGGGATTCCGACGTCGCGGCGCCTAATGTGATCGCGGCGCCTAATGTGATGAAATCAGTCAATGGTTGAGAATATTCCTTTTTGTCCCTGAGGTGGTCCCAAATGTGCCACGCTGGAATGCGGTGGATCGGAACACTCCGCCGACAACACGAACAGTGGCTTCTGATTGGACCGCTTAGTGTGGGGTGGACCACATGCAATGGGAGCATTATCCTGTGGCTTCAGTTGAAGACAGGTAAGCTAATTGATTGGACAGAAAGAAACACGGGTAGAAACAGCAATTGCGAAAAATCTCGTGACGTGGCCAAAAACAGCCGCTAATCCAACGGCGCGGTTCGTTTCCCGAAGCGTGCTATCAATTTGAGCCGCTCTAGTGCTAAGGAGGCGGATGCAGGGCGATGAGTTGGGAGGGAAATTAAGATTCTGTGCTGGGTCTGACACACGCGGCGGTAGGGATCCAAAGTGTCTTGCAGCCCAACCCATGTTGTGTACATTCTTTGTACAGTACACACTGGGGTTGATATTTGCATATTGGTTTTGATCTTCCATATAACGAGAAAGCCAAGGGCGCGTATTTGCGCAAGGGGAGGTGTGTTGAACGTGCTGGTGGGGAAGGGCAGGCTCGAACTTCAGTGGTAGGAGGTGGTTGACGTGGCGCTACCTTTAGTTGGGTCATTAGCTTTTTTGGGAAATCGTACAGCTTAGGTGAGCTTTTTTAGTTCGGCGTGAGGTGCGGGATGGCTTCGATTTGGTCTTGGAATTCGTGCGTGGTGCTGGAGGGTTCGGGTGGCTGGGCAGCAGGAAAAACAATGGGTGGATGAGAAAAAAATTACGTGAACCAATGGGAATGAAGGGTAGTTTTGACACCCTGGCACAACCACCACGGCCTTATCAACAACCCGAACCTCGACTTTCCGAGCCTGCCACGCCTAATCCCTCACCCGTCATTGTCCAGAAAGCAACAGCGAGGGTGTGACTTCTCGACCTAATCTGCTTTCAGTAGTAGTTTCGCTGCTCACCTTGTTAGTGTCATGGATGATTCTTGTTAGGTCAGATCTCAGCGCGGTACTCGATCTGAGTACACCTTTTTCATGGCAGCAATTCTTTTTTTACGATGTAGCAAGCGTTGCTCACTCTCTAGGTGGTACTTACTGTAAGTCGCTTCGGGCGTCTGTTTGCGTGCTAGCTGCATCAGATATGACAAGATGTCGCAGTATCGGTAAGAAGTTGCGCGATCCAGATCTTGCTTCTATTTACATGTTGCGGACGGAATCGTAACTGGGACGAGCTAGTGGCGTCGATAAGGTATTGACGCATCGGTAAGGTAGCGCGTTTCGTGGCTTATACAGCGCGTCTCGTCGACCTCGGAGCGTCGACGGTATCCTGGACGCAAGACGGGAAAAGAGGGCGGGAGGTGAGTGGAGGGGAGAAGATGGGGAAATTGATGGTAAGGACTGGCGAAACGGCGAAGCGGCCACTTTCCCCTTGTTTTCCGCTTCCCCGTCCCGTTTCCGCTCTCCCCTGTATCTTCCTGATTCTAGTGCGCGTCGATGGTACCCTGGACGCAAGACGGTAAAAAGGGAGGACGGGAGGTGGGTGGAGGGGAGAAAAGGAGGAATACACGGGTGAAGGGATATGATTGAGGACGGAGGATTGGCGGAAGGTAAAAGGCGAAACGGCCACCCTTTGATCTCCCCTCCCCACACCCATTTCCCTCTTTTTTGTCTCTCTCACCTCTTTTCCCCCCTTTCGCCGCTTCCCTTTCTCTCCCTAGCCTAGCCTGTGACCTATCCTGGAAACGTCCTTTCCTCTCCCCCCCCCCCCCTCTTCCCCCTCCCCCTCCTTTCCTCCCTTCCCGCGCTTCCGCTTCTCTCCAATTTGACCCGGCCTACAAACGCCATGCATGTCTCAGCCTCCCTACTCGCTCACATTCCCCGCTCTCCCTTCACTTCCCTCCCCTCATTCCCCCGCTCTCCCCTCATCTTCCCTGCTCTTCGCTCAGCTTCCCCTCTCTCCACTCCCCCCTCTCTAACTTCACCCCTCAGCCCCCCATTCATATCACTGCTTCCTCTCTTGTTCTCTTCCTTCACGCCCACCCTCACCTCCCTTGTCTCACGCCATTCCCTCTCTCTCCCTCCACCCCTGTTCCCTGATTTTCGACTCACCCCTCATCCCCTTCCCCCTCCAATACCTCAACTTTCCCCTCGCTGATTCCTCGTCCCCCCTCCCCCCCCTTCCCCCACATCCACCCTTCAACTCCTTCCCTTCCCCTAACACCGCCCCCGCATTTCCCTCATCTCTCACACCACCCTCCACTCTTCCACAACCGAGCCACTCAAGTGGATAAATTCCGCTGTTTGTGCGACACTCTCAGGCCTGCCTTCACCGCATGCCATTTTCTGTGAGTTGCTGCTTGTGTGTGCCGCATGTCATTTGACTTCTCACCTGCATGTGGCGTGACTGGTTGACTTGGCAGCTACAGAGACGACTCTGGGTTTCTGGTCTGACGCGTGGCTGCATTTGATTGGCCAGCAACAGGCCCACTAGATTTCGCTGCACACTGTTCGGTTGGATTACGGTCCATAGCGTGTTTGTACCTACCTACCTGCTGTAAACATTCTGCTGCTGAGCAGCTGTCAACCTGCTATGTAATTCTGTACTCCCATTCAAGTACACTATACCATGTTTAGTGAATTGAACTTACCTACACCAAGCATCTGGATGGTATGCAATGAATGAAAGTCACAAGCGGGTGACGGTTGGCCCTCACTTCCACGCTACCTGATCGTCAGCCAGCGTGGTGCTGCTAGCCCAAGCACGGGGTATGCCATCGAAGGGCTACCTTGGTTTCAATCATAGCTACTCTGGAGTCTAATGCAATGTGGTACCTCTTACCTGCATCACATGTGCTGCGCCTAGCAGAGTCTTTCAAGCGAAGCCCTTGCCACTACACAATACGGTAATACAAGTCCAGTCTGGTGGAAATTGGAATCATGTAAATAATGCAATTTGCATTTTATTTATTCCAGTAATCTGCCTGCCCCCACGATCATCCTAGTCTAATCCCTCGGCACCCCTAGGCGAACCCCGAACTTTTTCACGAATTCAGCATCTGTGCAATGGAGCAGGGTCGTCAGCAACACACCATGCCGCATCCAATCTCCACTGCTTGCCCTCGACGGCCGCCCTCTGCTCCTCACCCAGCCCTTCTCCTCCCCTCCCTCCCCGTCCCCATCCCCCTCCTCCCCTCCCCCATGCGCCGCTCCTGCAGCCGACACCAGCCTATACCCCGCTGCTTGGAACGCTGAAATTCGAGGTTTGATGCGTCGTTCGAGGCTGTGCGTGAAATAGAGCGGATAATGCAGCACCTCACTAGCATCCAGCCCTGTTTCCTCCACCAAATAGTCCAGTTTCGGACCCAGATTGCGTTCCCACTTGCGCGAGAGCAGGTAGGGGTAGGTGGAGAGGAGGGAGCGCACGGCATCAGGGGGAAATCGTGCTTGGAAGTGGGCGAAGGTGTCTTCTAGAGTGCTCACACTGGTGGCCAGCAGGGACGGGTACACGTGGAAGGCGTCTCTTGCTACTGGGCCACAGATGGATGATCGCGTGTGCCGCGACCGTGCTGCTGCTGCTGCTGCTGCTGCTGCTGCTGATGATGATGATGATGATGCTTCGGCTGGTGAAGATGCCACAGTTGGAGCAGCTGAAGATGCTGGTGATGGGGCTTGCTGTTCCCTTCCGTTCCTAGCTCCACTAGATGCGGCGCCAGCAGCAGAGGCGCCATTGCCCACACCAGCACCACCGCCACCACCACCGCCCAGAGCACCAGCAGCATAACCAGGCCCATCCAGCAGTCTGGTGACGCACAGCACCTTCTCCTTGAGGTTCTCCGGGTCCAGTCCCAGAATAGTGGGCTGTGCGTTCACAATCATGCGCAGATCCGCACTGCTCCACGCCACCTCGCGCTCCAGAAACGCCAGGGCGGCTCGCAGCTTCTCCTCCTTGATGCCCAGCAGGTTGGCGCTGCGCAGCAGCTTGGGCAGGCGCAGGCCGAAGGCAGGCGAGCAGAGCAGGCGCACGCGGTGGGTGATGAAGGGCGCGGAGTTGGACATGATGCGCGGGTACTTCTCTATGAACTGCCCAAACACACGCCGCTCCATGGCCGCTTGCAGCTGCGGGGATATTGATGCTGGGCCCTCGGGTTTGATCCCTGCGGCTGCTTGGCTCTCTGTCTCTGCTGCGTCTTGGGCGGGTGCTGATGCAGATGTTTGCTCTGTGTGGGCATCGGGTGCTCGTGCTGCGGCCTCTCCTGCACCTGCACTAGCTGGGACCACTACCTGAGCTTCATGGCCAGCAGTTGGTTCCCCGACTGCTGCTTCCCCCGATTCCTCTTTCGCCATCCCCACTTCCTCCCCATCCACTTCTCCCTCTCCCTCACTCCACTCCTCCTCGCTCTCCTCCCCCGCCTCCTCATCCCCATCGCCCATGTCCTCCTGCAGGATCACCCCAGACAGCGCCTCAGCCCACGCCCAGAGGTTGTTGTTTGCGTCATACTGCAGCACGGCAGGCGCGCGCCTTACAATGCTGCTCATCTTCTCCCTCCGCACGCCCATGGCCTGCAGGAACCCCACCACGCCCGCCAGCCCGCGCGTCTCACAGCGCAACCAGTTGGGAATGGAATTCACCGCTGAGAAGATGGACGGCAGGTCTACCCCGGCTGCGAGCAGCAGGTGGAACTTTGGCAGCAGGTCGCGGTCCCAGCGGCTCTTGAGGAGCGCGGGTACGCGGGAGAAGAGGTCGAGTATGCGCGAGGGGGTGAGGCCGAGAGCGAGAAAGAAGACGACGGTGTGAAGGGAGGCTTCGGTGACCGGGGGCCGTCTGCGACGGATGGTGGCGACGCGGGACTCGATGTCTGAGAGGAGGAGGGACGCGGTGAGGCGCGGCACGGGGCGCAGGGTGGAGAGCCAGAAGGCAGAGGCTTGGGGGTCGTGGGAGTGCAGGTGCGCGTGGAATGTGAAGGCCGTGGGGGTTTCTGCTAGGGTTAGCAGACAGGGCGCGGCCGGTGATGCTGCCTGGCGCGCGTGGGAGATGGGGAGGGTATGGGGGAGAGGGGATAGGGATTGGAAGCGGGAGGTGGTGGGAGGGACCAAGAGGGGTGATGTGATAGGGCGTGCAGGGGAGATAACGAGGGTAAGATAGCTGAGGCGAGCTGGGAGGGAAGAGGGTGAAGATTGGTGAAAGGAAGGAGGTACGAGGCACATGGGAGGGAGGGATGGGGTTGTCGTGGCGCGTACTTGATCGTTCTCACCTCGTCCTTCTTGTCCTCCTCGTCTTCTCCTTCCGCCGCTGCCTCGTGCCTCTCCTCCTGCTCCTCCTCGCGCTCATCCTCCTCACCCCCATCAGCCGCGCGTCTCCTCCTCGTCGTCTGCGCCGCCACCCCTGCAGCCTCTGCGCCGCACGCGCGCATTGAGCGCCGTCCGTCTCCGCGCAAGCGCGCGAGCGGCCCCGCCCGCACGCATGGGCTCCGCCTGTGAAGCGCTGCGGAACGCGACGACTGGGATAACCGATGCGCGCATACGGCCAATGTGGTGCGCCCTGTGGGAATGCTCGACGGGGAGCGCGGGGAGTGCGGAGTGCGCGGTGGCGGGGAATGGCGAAGTGCGGAGGGTGGGAGTAGAGGGGGCGGACAAGGGGGAAGCGGGTTGGTGAGGTGATGAAGGGGAGGAATGGGCGGCGCTAGGTGGAAAAGAATAAACAGGGATACGTCGCGAGAGGGAAAGCGCACGAGCGCGGAGAGTGAATGCATCAGTGGGCGCGTGGGGGGCTGACTGTTAGGAGCAAACGAGCATCAGGCTCTTTACAGCAGGCAGCTTAGTGCACCACACGCGACACGCAAAAAACGCTCGGCATGTATAAGTGGCAACTCACTGGGAAGGCGAGGTAATGCAGCTAGCGTTACTGCATCGTGCTGCTGGTGAAGCGAGGGAACGCACGCTATGGATGCCATTGTCATGGAACCCCTATGGGCGGAGGAGTTGTGAAACCAACCACGCTTTACAAACTAGGGGAAGAGTTGGTGCAATGGCCAAGCGAGGAGGTGTCGCATATGCTAGTTGTTAGGAGGCGCGTTCTTCAGACCAGTCCCAGGAATCCGTGATCTACGCAGGTTGTCAAGGGAACGAAAGGTACAGAGCAGACATCGATATAGGATGTCAGATACAAGTTTGTGTGAATCAATGCATAACCTTTTTGGCCATCAAAGCTGAAAGAATTCACAACAAGAAAATCACTCGAATAATGTTAACGTTCATTTCTATGCAAATAAAAGATTATATATGAAGTCAGATATCGTGCCGGTATGGAGTGTTCATGTATAAATGTACATGAAGTTTTGTCCAAGTATGTTTTAGTAAGTTCAGTGTTCACCTGCTGTTCGTTTCGCGAGTAAGTGATCTTTCAGGAGATTACATTTTGTACAAACTCATAATCTTTACAAAGAAAAGCATCGCACAAGAGGAGAGGAACGGGAAAGAAAGACACCAGAAACAACTCAAACGCAACACCCATAAAAAGCCCCATAAAAATACTCTATAAAGAAAAAACCCAACCAGGATCCCCTACCAGACGTCCCATCTCGCACCCCATTCCCCCTCGCCCCCCCTCCCCCCCCCCCCCCCCCCCCCCCCCCCCCAAGTCACATCTGCACATCCACCATGTAGGGGGCCTCCACCCAAAGAGGCCCGCCCTCCACCTCGACATCGTCCCTCTCCCGATCCACCAAGTCCACATTCAACCCCCCCATGGAAGACGCCGCCCGAAGCAGGATGACACGAGCTTGCGCCCGTTGTAACGCCACTCCGATGAGCGCCTTCAGAGACCCCAAAAGGTAAGCCGAGAACGAAGTGTCATCCTCCCGACAAGCCCCCCGTGACACAGCTAGCCCCACGTGCGCGTCCCCCTGCTGTCGAAGCCACCGCCGGAAGCGACCGCCGAGACACCCCCACGTCTCCACTATCAAAGGGGTGAACTGCACGCCTCGGTTCCGTGCAAGAAGAGGCGCGTAATCCCCCGTTTTGCGACGCTCCCACTCCTTTGCCGCCACGCCTATAGACCGCCCGCACTGCCCTAGCAGAGATGGAGACAGTGATAGCGGGTCCGCGACACTAATCTCTAAAGCATGAGCCTCCCCAGCCATTGGTCGTCGCACCGCTACGTCAACCCGCTTCCCCGGCAGCACCGCACTATCCTCCATCGTCACCACCCCCCCTGACGCCTTAGCGATCTTTGCCACCGCAAACTTCACCTCATCATGCACCCGAGATGGACCGTGTTGGTGCTTGCATCTCAGCGCATGATGCGGGTCTGCTGGGTCATCATACGCTGCGCCACAAACACACTTCCCCGCCACTTGCAGCTGCTGGATTGGGAGACCAAGCCGTATAGCAGCAGCAATGCCCCACTCCGCTGCAGTGAATGTGAGATCTGAATGAGCCGGAACTGCCGAAACCCATGCACCAGCCCCCGGGCCCTGAAGGGATGTGAAACGGGCTAGGGTGGCATCGTCACGAGCCAAGCGGCGGAGTGCCTGGAGCTCCTCAACAGCCAACTGCCGCTGCCGCGCCTGGAAAAGCCGAAGAGGAGGGGCCGCCACACACAGGGGTAAGTCCGGCAGCTCCTGGCGTATAGTCGCGGGCAACTGCTCAATGGCCTTGGCAAACCACGGGTCAAGAAGCTCCGCCCCCGCCGAAGTGGTGAGGTACTCTGCGAACATCGCCTCCTCGCCCGCCACCCCCAAATGTGCAATATCCCGTGCGGCCTGCGCCCACCCACAAACATAGGAGAGCGGACTCAAAGAGGCCGCCGCCCGGATCCCAAACCCTCCGAGGCGCACAGGGAGATGCAGCTGCATGCGTGCGCGCCTAGACCTGCCGGGATCCTGCTCCCAAGTGCCAGGGGGGAAAAGCTGCTCAAAGCAATCCTCCAGACAGCTGTCCCACTCTCTAAAGGCCTCCACCACCTCCGGCCGCGGCGGCATAGTCCGGGCCAGGTACATCGGCCGTGCTGAAACTGCAATAGCGAGGAGATGCGAGGCCATCTGGGGGTGGTCGAGCAGGGGGAGCCACGGCAATGGCGCCTGCAACTCGCGAAGCCGCTTCCGTAATCGGGCCCCCTCCCAATCCTCCTCCCCAATAGGCACGCCCACCACAATAAGACCCTCCTCCTCCCGCTGCATCCCCAAAGGCAATGCCCGCTCCATATCCCCACCTCCACGCTCCCAAAACCTGCACTTGTGCGCCTGCACTTCCAGCCCCACCCACTCCAACCTCTCTCGCAGCACCCCAAAAGCCTCCAGAATCCTAGCCGCTGGTCCCAGGATGTAGGTATCGTCTGCATAGCTCAAGAAAAGTAGGTCCCTGAACTCTCTAGTCACCGTCCCCAGCACCTGCTGCTGCGTGAAAGCGAAAAGAAAAGGGCCGAGCGGGTCCCCCTGTCGCGATCCTCGTGCCGACTCAAGACTCTGTACGAAAGGGCCCGCTCGGAGGTACAGGTCGCTAGGTGTCCCATAGAAGACACGCAAGAATGGGATCATTCCTGAGAAAGGCGACTCCTTCAGCCCCTCGAACATCGCGTGGCGATGAAACGAATTGAAGGCGTTCGCGACATCTATCTGCAGCGCACACCAGTCGGGGTGAGTGGCCAGCGCTGACCGGAAAGAATGAGTAAGAATCTCCACCCCGGCCCTGGTGCCCACTCCCAGCTGGTTACACGGCAGAAAATAAGAAGCCATCACAGGGCGAAGCGAGATGCAGAGAGCTCGAGCGAGGATACGCGGAAGCACCTCCCCGATCGCCACCGGCCGGACGTCACCGTTGGGTTTGGAAAGCCCGACTAGGTTGGATGCGGCGAGCCAGGGCCGAGCTCGCTCGGGGACCTGTCCCGCCACCCATTGGTTGAACACTTCCAGCAGGTGGGAGAGGCAGGAAGGTTCCGTGAGGAAAGTGTCGCGCAGATGCTCTGTGACCCATCCCGATGGCCCTGCAGCTGAGGCGCGAGCAGCTGTGTGGATAGCTCTAGCCAGAATGTCGGTCGTGAGTGGAGGCCGCTGAGGAGCGTCGACAGTAAACTCACGAACCCACGGTGGTACCTCGCCACTGCTAGCTGGGTGCTTCCCTCGCAGCGACTGCACCATAGCCTCAGACGGTCGAGCCAACTCTCCTGCTGTGAGGCAAGACAAACCACGGCTCCACTCTCCCACTTTACACCGAGATCGGCACCGTGACAGGCGGATGGCCTCCGGGTCCTGGTCAGAGCACGTGTAGGCAAGTGGGCGAACTGCTGGCCGTGCCGCCGCCATGGCAGCGTCGAACAACTCCCGCCACCTCCCCTCCCAGAAGGCCCCCAGCCGCTCTATGATCAGCGCCTTCTGACCTATGCCTGGCTTGGGAGGCACGGCTAGGATGAGGCGCGGAAACGCCAGGAGTAGGAGGGTAGCAGCTTCATCTCCCGGTCGGCTCTTCAGCCGCTTCAAGATGCAACAGAGTGCGTCTAAGACCCCGGACCGGGCCCGCTGCGGGATCCGGCGCACTGTCCTCCCTCCAACCGCCTCCACACAGAAAAATGCCTCCCACTCCCATGACTTAACCCCTGCCCACGCCTCGTCCCCAAATTCCCGCGGCGTCGGTCGCTCCTGTGTGTCGGTCTCCACCAGAGACGGGATCGAGCCAAGTGCCTGCGCGCGTCTCTCCGCCTCAGCCGCCCGGCATACCCTCATGTGGTTCGCAGCGGCCCCTCTCGTGGCGAACGTGTGGAAACACGTGTCACACGGGAAACGGGGGCATGGGGAAGGCGGACTGGGTGGTTCTCCGTCCGCCTCTGACTCCTCCGCAGTCGCCATGGGGGTATCAAACTCCAAAAGTCGGCACCACTCCTCCAACTGCTGTTCCCGGTCGTCCATCGATCCCCCCCCTGCCTGCTGCACTCCCTGGGGTGCCCCGGGCACCCCCGGCTGCCCCCCTGCCTGCTGCTCTCCCTGGGGTGCCCCGGGCGCCCTCGGCTCCCCTCCTGCCTGCTGCACTCCCTGGGGTGCCCCGGGCACCCTCGGCTCCCCTCCTGCCTGCTGCACTCCCTGGGGTGCCCCGGGCACCCTCGGCTCCCCTCCTGCCTGCTGCACTCCCTGGGGTGCCCCGGGCACCCTCGGCTCCCCTCCTGCCTGCTGCACTCCCTGGGGTGCCCCGGGCACCCTCGGCTCCCCTCCTGCCTGCTGCACTCCCTGGGGTGCCCCGGGCACCCTCGGCTCCCCTCCTGCCTGCTGCACTCCCTGGGGTGCCCCGGGCACCCTCGGCTCCCCTCCTGCCTGCTGCACTCCCTGGGGTGCCCCGGGCACCCTCGGCTCCCCTCCTGCCTGCTGCACTCCCTGGGGTGCCCCGGGCACCCTCGGCTCCCCTCCTGCCTGCTGCACTCCCTGGGGTGCCCCGGGCACCCTCGGCTCCCCTCCTGCCTGCTGCACTCCCTGGGGTGCCCCGGGCACCCTCGGCTCCCCTCCTGCCTGCTGCACTCCCTGGGGTGCCCCGGGCACCCTCAACTCCCCTCCTGCCTGCTGCACTCCCTGGGGTGCCCCGGGCACCCTCGGCTCCCCTCCTGCCTGCTGCACTCCCTGGGGTGCCCCGGGCACCCTCGGCTCCCCTCCTGCCTGCTGCACTCCCTGGGGTGCCCCGGGCACCCTCGGCTCCCCTCCTGCCTGCTGCACTCCCTGGGGTGCCCCGGGCACCCTCGGCTCCCCTCCTGCCTGCTGCGCTCCCTGGGGTGCCCCGGGCACCCTCGGCTCCCCTCCTGCCTGCTGCACTCCCTGGGGTGCCCCGGGCACCCTCAACTCCCCTCCTGCCTGCTGCACTCCCTGGGGTGCCCCGGGCACCCTCGGCTCCCCTCCTGCCTGCTGCACTCCCTGGGGTGCCCCGGGCACCCTCGGCTCCCCTCCTGCCTGCTGCACTCCCTGGGGTGCCCCGGGCA